CACAACACTATGTGTACCAATTCTCGAACCGTGTTAGAGTGAATCTGTGCTATAGAAGTGCCGTGTTATACGGGGGTTACCTGTATATCTAACTAAAAATGGACATAATTGAATCCAACTGTTCCCAAGAACTTCAGAAAATGGATCCTTTCAAATATTTAATTGAAACATTTTGTAATTTTTTTTATATCTAAATCTTCCAGTATGTTAATTCATAACTTTTATTATAATTCATTTTTTATTGATATATAAAAATTTTTTTATTGCAGCTGTAGAATTTCAGTTTAAAAGAATTTCATTTCATTGTATTGAGAAAACAAACCTACAATGATATTTTTATTTTTCTCTAGACCCCAATATACAATGAATCAGGGAGGCATGCAAGCACCAAATGTAACTGTCGGACAAATGGCAGGTGGTATGGGTGGAGTAACCGGTGCCAATTCACACATATCTGTTTCTGGATCACCCATGGTACAAGGTGGTGCCAATACTTATGGAGGAGCTGCAGGAAATCCCACTTTGACTACTGGGCAGGCTCAGATGCAACATATGCAGCAAATTAGACATCAACATCAGCAACAGCTATTAGCCATGCAGAAACAGCAACAGCAGCAGCAACAACAGCAACAAACTGTGACATTGGTACCGCATTTGCAGCGTCATATGGCTAATCCAAATCAAGGGCCCCATGCTCCACCGCAACAGCACCACCAGTTTCACCAACCGTACTAAGTTCATAGTGACCAATTTTCATAAATAATGACCATTGATTTATTTTAAGTATGAAATAACAATCTGTAATTTTACTAAGATTTAAAACATGCAAGGAAATACATATACAATATATAAATATATATATAATGATGATTGTTATTTTATGAAAATTTAACAAATTATTAAAAAAACAAAAATAAGAGTATAAAATTTATTTATTTATTACTGTTTATTTATGTAATTACAATATAATGAAATCTCTATTAATTAAATATAATTTTTATTATTATTTTTTAAGATTTACATATTGTGTATATGCAAACATGTACATATCTGTATAAATATTTCACTGATTTTTATCATTATGACTAGCTTCTGAATAAGTATAATAATGTATAATAAAAATAGGAATTCATTTTTATAATAATTGTGATTCAAAGAGTGTAATACATTTTAGAAAATTATATGATTAATTGTATATAGAGGCAATTCTCGATATTTTGAATATCTGTACAAAAGTTACCCGGATAATTTTTCTGAATGATGTCAGGCAGTAATGCATGATTTTTTCAGCCGACAGAATTTTTATCTGTGATTCTCTCAAGTTTTATTATGTCTACACATCTTCAAAGAATAAATTTTCATTCAAAACTTTGTTGTACAACAAAATATATCTAACTGGAAACTTGTGATATTAGGAAAAACTTATATTTAAAAATAATTATACTAATAATTTTTTTATCTGTAACCTATATTTTCAATGAATGTGTGTTGTAAATACAATGTACTCATATACATAAATGTTAAGATTAAAATTTTTCTTATAAAAAATATATATATTTGTGTATATATACACATACATGCATATTTTTTCTTCTGTTGGTAACAAAATCTATAATGATGTATTGCAAAATTTCCAAATGATATTTAAAAATTTAAATAAATATAATTAGTCTGAAATCATTAGATCTAACAATGGGGAATTTACACAATTTTTTTTTTGTTGTGTTAAATAAAAAATCAATGTATCTGCTGAATTCGTATGCATATTTTGTTTTGTAAAATTAATGACGATTAAAAAAACTTTCAAACTTTATATAATTGTTATCATCATCACTAGGAAAAAACATTCGCTAATGCCAGTGTTTAGTTTGACTGCCATTAAAGTGTTACATTACTGTGCTGATAGTCTATACACTTAGTTACCCATTTAATTTAAAAAATCTAAATTGAAAAAACTTGAAAATAGTGTGTTGTTTTGTAATTAATGATTTATAATTTAGAAATTATTGTCAAAAACAAAATCTCATCTATAAATCCTGGCATGTAAAATAATCCAGCATTTTTAAACAAAATGATTGTTTATTTAAATGTAAGTAATTTTACATTAAATAATATTTTAACAAAATAAAAATTATAATCAGATATACCAATTTATTATTAGAAGTAAGTTATAAATGAAATGTTAGTTTTTAATTTCAATTAAAAAAAAATAACCATGCTAGGTCTGATGCACTTATTATTCTATAGATTGATTATAACTATTTTGCAGCTATGGCTTCTTTACCATTTATATTCATTGCATATAAAGTATTGCAGCTATGAGCAAGTGGAGGCTATCTTCACTATGTTCTTTGCTGCAACCATGAATATTGTTGTGTAGGCTAACACTTGTGCTATTTGTGGCAGTTTCAATGCCCTTCATATTAGCTTTATCAACCATTGCTTTTAATATTCAGTTCCTTATACCTTGATACTTGTGAGTAGCTGATCACTGCCAGATCTTTTCATATCTGTTGCAAATATTTTATATACCATCTGTTTTAAACTAATTGTAAAAAGACTGGCAATTATATACATCAGAATTAGTTTTACACTGAGCAGTTGTGAATGAACAGAATAATGATATACTTTATTTACAAAGAAGAAAGATGATAAATATTTTCAGTCATAGTTACTAATAGATAGCAATAAGATGTTGAAATTTCAATATCATCAAAATATGTCTGATTAAATACTGTGCAAATGACTACCAGATGGTCAAGAAACCAAGGTGGCAGCCTACCGCTATGGAGAACCAGAGATTAATCGGATGGGTTGAAGAAGCCCCAGGAATTTTATGGGGATGCTCCATCTGGATATGTCAGGCTTGTTAAAAAAAGACCCTTAGTACCTGAAGAGTGGAAAGAGCTAAATTTGTGTAAGTTCCCCATCTTCATAACATCTTATTAATTACATAAATACTTTTATAACAAGCTTAAATTTTATTTTAGACAAAAACAAACTGAAATCAAATTAATTTGAACTTGCAGTACATTTAGAAAATTTGGATAAATAGAAATTTTAAGTTTATTACATTCCAGACAGTTAGGTGGAATGATTATGTAATTGAGGCTTGATTAGGAATTTATATATTTTTTGGGAGAAACTTGATAGCAAGAACATTTTTAATATTCTGGAATTAATGGTTTAAATCAAATTTGTGTCACTGTTTAGAAATAAATTGGCAATTGACTACTGTATTTTAAATATAACACTCCTCCACAGGGTGGTGCATGTGAAATTTTCGTGTTACTACTTGGTGCATGCAGCAGAGAGACCAATGTACACATAAACCATCAGTACTAGTTGATTGTGACTGTTTTGTTGACAGCATATGCAACACACGTGAATAATGTGAATCTATTGCATTTTTTACCATACAATACCAGGTACAAAATCCACTAATCCAATGTTATCTGGTCCGATATATGTTAGAGTATGGAAACTATTGTATCTAGTTGTATCTTAACTGACAATCAACATTTTTACTCTTCAAGAACTAATTATTTGTATAAGCAACAATGTAGTTGCAAAGATTTGAAAAAAAAATTATAAAAAATGCAATTTTAAAATAATCCCTCTAAGGAATTTATTAAATTATTTTTAAAAAATAGCAGTTGGCATGATAAGAAACCAGATATTTTAGTTTTATAGATGTATTAAAAAATACAAGAAATATTAAAAATTTGACAAATTTATGTAATTTTATATAATTTTTTTGATGACCGAGAGGTTAAATGCGACTGCATACTGCTTGGGGATCTGGGTTCAAATCCCCAGGAATTTTTTGCAGGTGATGTCCAGTGCCAGACCTTCACTCAGGCCCGGCTAAACCCATAATGGTCTTGCTAAGAAAATACCTTAGTGTCCACAGGGCAGAGAGTAAAAAAAAATTCCACTCTGATCACTATTGGAACAAGCATTTTTAGTACCTTAACCACTCTGCAGTGATCGATGGATATACCCATCAAGAGTGATCACATGGCACTGGAGAACAACATCTATATCTGCAAAGATATTACCAAAAATTACTGTGAAAAAAATTCACATAAAAAGGAATTATGTGACAATAAAAAAAGATTTTTCTTTACTAGACATAACTGTTTAAAAAATAAAAAAATTTTTTCAAAACGGAAACAAGAAAAACGCATGGGAAAATTCTTAAAAAATTTCCCACATTTATTCTCCACTACATCGTGATAGCACCATATCTGACTAACCCTCTCTACAAAGGTTAATGTACCAGCCAAATCTTTGCACAATTTTTAAAAGGGTATGGGTTTTAAAAAAATTTTTTCATAACTTAACCTATAAGAATCTGAACTCACAACATAATGTCTTGACAATACAACTTTGGGAGCAGATTGTCTTTTGACAGTTATTTGACAATGTGAAAGTTAAGTTCTCAGCATGGAAAGTGACACTTTCTTGTAACCTCCAGACATCCATCATTTTAATATAACAACTAACGGACAGTCACCAGCCCCTCAACAGAATATCATCTCCTGCCAATAATGAAATATTACCTCCTCCAGTTCGTCTCCAATTACGTCCTCTGGTCCCAGAAATTTCCAACTCCTGTCCCAGATAGAGCCTTCCATACTTCAAACTGTTCCAGGTGTGCTCAGAACTCTCCAGGGTAAAATACTCTAAAGACGATTGAACAGTCATTTCATTTACAAGCAGCTCTCTTCTGATTTATAACATGATTTCGTGTAAACTCTCTCGTGCACACATGAAACACGTCAATGTCACTCTCATATCCAATGTCTAATTGTCTCGCTACTGTTAGCCTGTAGATCTAGTAACAAAAAATAAACGGGTATTTGTTTTGTTAACCTAGTATCCGATTGTCTTGCTTCCAACACTGCCTCACTCGCCTCCATTCAAATCCGATTGCGCCATACATGGCTCTTGCGTGACCTACTTTCAAACCAAAACAAATTCGCCACCACAGCTTCCATGTTGCACGAGACATAGTGATGTCAGTCCTGACGAGGCATCAAAAAAGTGCTGACCCTCCAGTCACATTGTAAAAATTACTAAGCTATACAAAGAAACAATACAGCAGATTGAGTACAAAAATAGTTCAATGTACTGTTTAATTTTATTTTTGGAATTGAGAATAGTTGAAGATAATAAATCATAATTTTAGATTGACAAATACGAGAACCAAAATAGACCTTACTTTCTTATAGATAAACTGGACAGAGGAATAAGATATCATTTTAATTAATTAATTTAATTAGTTTGTTGGAAACAAATAGCTTTAAATTATAACAAGAAAGCAGATGATAAAACAGATTAAATATCGAAATTTTGAATTATATTGTCTCTTTTGGGTTTCATTTCCAAAGCAAATTCATTAATAATTGGAAGAATCAAGAATTTTGTCATACTTATAAAATGATATGAAGAGGACCATTGTCTTTCATATATGTTCAAAATTTCTGTCATATCTTTGTCATACCATTTTGTTTTTTCATAAACAATAAACTTTGTTCATTAAGATTTTGTATGTGTGTAATTTCTTCACACACAAAGAAACTAATAATTGTAAATTTAGATTGATTATATGTGGTATTTTAGAGCAATTTATGCAACACACTAAACTTTGCACTGCAAAACATTAATAAAGTTTAATTATATAATTTTGCCATAATTCCTAATTTAGACAGGATGCTCCCATGTTTGAGTTTTGTCCCCCACTGTCCCTGAAATGTTTGGTGGGATGTTCAAACTAGGGTTTCTCATTTCCCGGTCTTTTGCTTGTCCCGGGATCCCGGGATAGAAGTGAATTGTTTCCCGGGATCCAGGGAAATCCCGGGATAGAATTAATTATTTTTAAGGTATACAATATATCTTGAAATTAAATGATATAATTATTTTCCATTTTTTAAAGTAATTTTAAAGTTCTGTAACCTCCAAAATCATATTAATAATGCTGTGTAAGGTCTATAGNAGGATCTTTAATTTTGTCACACATTTTAAAGTCACACTATAAACAATAAACAATCATTGCTGCTCGCTGTTAGCATCAGACTGGTGCGAAAAAATGGGAAGGTCCATGACGCAGCAATGGGGAGTGAGAGGAACTGTGCGGCTCATCAGATCAAAATGTTCTTTTCTTTTAGAATGGCCCTCATATTATTTCTAATTTTACACAGATTCCAAAACTACATATTATTTTTGCCGAAAATATCAGAATTCTGTGCCATCTACAAAAACTTTTTCTTTTTGGCTAAACAAATTTTCTTAACTAAACTACAAAAGAAAACAAATATTTTATGATGTAATTCTGATCCACTTTTCTTAAAAACCCACCAAGCTCTATTTCTAATCCTAATCATTAGACAACAATGTAATCAAACCAATTGTTAATATTGATATGATCTTTTGGTTTAAAATTCATATTATAGCAATTAGCAATCTCGACAATTAACTTACTTATGTATGATAAGGAAACAGACACACTCCCTGATAGATGTTTCTCAAGATCACACAGAAAATTGTTCATAATCTTGCAGTTCCAGAAAATTCTTAATAAAAAATGCCATTATTATTCACCTCAGATTGCAATGGATTGTCCAAACATAGTACCAAAGGAAAATGGTCCGACAAACAACAATCATCAACAAAAAAGATTTAACACAACCTCACACACAGGGAGTTATTAAACCAAAATCAATAGCCAAAGATCCCAAACTAGAAACAAAGGTATATTCACCTGCTTCATAACCTAACCTAATTTAATATTATTAAATTTTTATTGAG